TTAAAATGTATTTTGTTTGCAAGAGATGGTGGTTATTTTCTACTTTTGACATGGCAATATTCATTCATTTTGTTTCCAAAAATGAAAGTTATTTTCTTTTCTTTTTTTAGGAAACTTGCTTTTTACAATTAAACTGAAATGTGACTTTTTCATAAGACGTCTTCATTTCAAGCAATCTTTGATTTTTTTAATTGTTCAAAATATTCAACAAATACCCATAAATAGTTTGTTTCCTTCAATTATTTTAAAATCACAAAAATAAGAAATGTACTCTTTCATTAGAAAACAAATCCCACCTTTAAAGGGGTCATATGATGCTTTTTTAAAGATCATTAGATCATTATTTTGTGTATTTGGTGTAACAGAATATGTTGACATGCTTTAATGTTCGAAAAACACATTATTTTTCAAATACTGTACATTATTGTAGGTCCTCTATGCCCCGCCTCTCTCAAACGCTTCGTTTTCTACAAAGTCCCTCCTTCCGACAAGCGCAGTCTGCTCTGATTGGCCAGCTGACCCAGTGCATTGTGATTGGCCCAACACCGCATCTCTCTCTCTCGCGCACGCTCTCTCTCTCTCTCGCTCTCTCTCTCGCGCTCTCTCTCTCTCTCTCACACTCTCTCTCTCTCGCTTACTCTCTCTCTCGCTCACTCTCTCGCACACACACACGATGCGCAAAACTCCGCATTTGAACAGTCAATAGCAAATACTTAAACTAATAACAAAACAGTAGCTGATTCAGAAGCGCCAGATTGTCATAGCAAAGTCAGAATGACCTCCTCTCCTAGGTTCACGAAACAGTCGTCCATAAAATGCATTGCTGTTCTGTTGTAAGTAATCTTAAAGATTCCTAAATGCATCTACTTCCGGAAGGCCAAATAAAGTGCTTTTGCTTTCGCCTAGAAACGCACAGCGTCTCTCTGACATGGCTGCTTCAACACTAACTGCGGTTACTGAAACCACGCCTTCTTTCTTTGCGTGCACATTTGGACGGCATTATGCTAATATTTCCACATAGTGAGGTAGATATGTGGGGGCGTGTTAGAACGAGCCGTTTTAGGGGGGCGTGGCAGAGTCTTAACTTTGATAAAGAATATCTCTTTGGTTTTGAGACTTTAGTCTTTGCAACTTCAGGGATCTTATCTATGCACAATCAGCTTTTAACACTCCAAAGAGAAAGGAAAACTTGAAATAGCATAGTTGAGCACTTTAGCACTTTAGCAGTTGAGTAGCTATATTTATAGTACAAACCTTTAATGAACTATGAGGGCAAAAATAAAAATAGATATAAAAAATAATAATAATCGTTCAATAATCGTAATCGAGGTAAAGTGTTCAATTAATTGAGGTTTTGATTTTAGGCCATATTGCCCAGCCGTTCGGCTGAGGATCACACACTACCAGACTTTCAAGTTGTTCCGATCACAACAAACTCATGCAGAAACGTGCACCTTGCTGCTAAGAGATGCTTGACAAATGAAAACAACGTGTTCTAAAATCGTCTGAAAATATCAAACATGTTTGATCTCCTCTGACTACATGGAATCAAAGTCTGAAGCAAAAAAATCCGAAGTTAAATCCGAGAGTCCGAAATTTTGTGTTTTCTCATTTTTTCGTATTCGTCATCCTTTCCTATCAAAATGCTTGCTACGGATGCAGAAATGCAGAAAATCTAACCTGATCTAATTTTTTTATGACGGACAAAAGTTTCGTTGGCAGTGTGTAAACGTGATTGACACACCGTGAGGTCTTTTTTATTTTTTAACGTGCGAAGATTTCGGACTCAGTGTGCACTGTGCAAAAACCTTGACACTGACTTTCAGAAACTATCATCAACTTCTCTAGACTGTATATCGGCGGAATATCAGGGCAAAAAACGTGTAGTGTATTCCAGACATTAGGCGTCATTTCATAGATTGATTAATGTTGCTTAGTGGTGGCATAAATAAATTTACACAGCATTTGCACCTTTATACAATACTTTGATATTAGGGGGTGAGGTGGGTCAAAGCAGGCATAATTTAGTCTGGCTTTTAATGTGGCATTGCATCGTCACATAGAATTTTGAGCAGGCACAGAGCAGCTTTAACTTGTCTGTAACAAAAGACACCTTATGATGCATTTTTGAAGGTGAACTACTCGGCCGTGAATTATTTGGCACACCAAGCATTAGCCAAACTTGGGCCATCGTTGAATGCCTGTCAAGCTCAAGCCCTGTCCACACGAATGTGGTTATTTTTAAAACCGCAGCTTTTTCTACGCGGTTTGGCCGTTCGTCCACACGCAAACGAAGCACCAGGTCACTGAAACCGAACATTTTTGAAAACGCCTGCCAGGGTGAAGATTTTCAAAAACTCTGGTCGCAGTGTTATTGTGTAGACAGCGAAACCGGAGTTTTTGGCTTGTGACGTCAGAGCCTGCGCCGTTATCTCCGTTTACTGGAAACTTTTTCAGGCTTCTGATTGGCCAACATGGCTTTACGGTTGAGATTATATCGCCACCTGTTGGTTTGGTATGCTCTTGACAGTGCTTCATAGCATGCGTTTGCATTTTCATGTGGACAGAGATTTTTTTTTAAACGGAAGAAGGAACAAATACCTGTGTACGTGTGGACATGGCCTCAGTTATTTCTTATATGTTCCACACCACTGACTCTAGTCACACCTCTATGACGTTTTAGCAGATTGAGCATGTTGAACCGATGTCGGACAGAACGAGAAGAAAAATGAAAGCAACAAAAGCAAGCAAACAACACACAGATGGCCGTCCCAAATTTAAATCCCCATCTTACCTGAGCATTCAATATGATCAGTGTATGTTTCAGTTTTGATTTGATTCCACATCAGGAAGTTTGTAATTCAGCAGATCTGAATTTCTGATTCCTGTTATTCTTGTTATTTGATTGGCTGAATAGACAGAAGTTGTGATCTGTGTTCATTACAGCCATAAAAACAGTGACTGAAAACAAAGATGATCTCTCAACACATAGGAACTGCATACAGCGATGCCAGGAAGTTCAGTAGGAGCACACGATGAGATGCTTGACAAATGAAAACAACGTGTTCTAAAATCGTCTGAAAATATCAAACATGTTTGATCTCCTCTGACTACATGGAATCAAAGTCTGAAGCAAAAAAATCCGAAGTTAAATCCGAGAGTCCGAAATTTTGTGTTTTCTCATTTTTTCGTATTCGTCATCCTTTCCTATCAAAATGCTTGCTACGGATGCAGAAATGCAGAAAATCTAACCTGATCTAATTTTTTTATGACGGACAAAAGTTTCGTTGGCAGTGTGTAAACGTGATTGACACACCGTGAGGTCTTTTTTATTTTTTAACGTGCGAAGATTTCGGACTCAGTGTGCACTGTGCAAAAACCTTGACACTGACTTTCAGAAACTATCATCAACTTCTCTAGACTGTATATCGGCGGAATATCAGGGCAAAAAACGTGTAGTGTATTCCAGACATTAGGCGTCATTTCATAGATTGATTAATGTTGCTTAGTGGTGGCATAAATAAATTTACACAGCATCTTTATACAATACTTTGATATTAGGGGGTGAGGTGGGTCAAAGCAGGCATAATTTAGTCTGGCTTTTAATGTGGCATTGCATCGTCACATAGAATTTTGAGCAGGCACAGAGCAGCTTTAACTTGTCTGTAACAAAAGACACCTTATGATGCATTTTTGAAGGTGAACTACTCGGCCGTGAATTATTTGGCACACCAAGCATTAGCCAAACTTGGGCCATCGTTGAATGCCTGTCAAGCTCAGGCCCTGTCCACACGAATGTGGTTATTTTTAAAACCGCAGCTTTTTCTACGCGGTTTGGCCGTTCGTCCACACGCAAACGAAGCACCAGGTCACTGAAACCGAACATTTTTGAAAACGCCTGCCAGGGTGAAGATTTTCAAAAACTCTGGTCGCAGTGTTATTGTGTAGACAGCGAAACCGGAGTTTTTGGCTTGTGACGTCAGAGCCTGCGCCGTTATCTCCGTTTACTGGAAACTTTTTCAGGCTTCTGATTGGCCAACATGGCTTTACGGTTGAGATTATATCGCCACCTGTTGGTTTGGTATGCTCTTGACAGTGCTTCATAGCATGCGTTTGCATTTTCATGTGGACAGAGATTTTTTTTTAAACGGAAGAAGGAACAAATACCTGTGTACGTGTGGACATGGCCTCAGTTATTTCTTATATGTTCCACACCACTGACTCTAGTCACACCTCTATGACGTTTTAGCAGATTGAGCATGTTGAACCGATGTCGGACAGAACGAGAAGAAAAATGAAAGCAACAAAAGCAAGCAAACAACACACAGATGGCCGTCCCAAATTTAAATCCCCATCTTACCTGAGCATTCAATATGATCAGTGTATGTTTCAGTTTTGATTTGATTCCACATCAGGAAGTTTGTAATTCAGCAGATCTGAATTTCTGATTCCTGTTATTCTTGTTATTTGATTGGCTGAATAGACAGAAGTTGTGATCTGTGTTCATTACAGCCATAAAAACAGTGACTGAAAACAAAGATGATCTCTCAACACATAGGAACTGCATACAGCGATGCCAGGAAGTTCAGTAGGAGCACACGATTTGGCAGATGACCTCCACGAAAGACCTTAAAATGTGCACATCTGTCAAATGCGTTGTTTTGTTTAAAAAAACAAATAGAAAAAGTGTGACAAAAGAGCTTTAGAATACAAGCTAGAGGTACTAGCATGGACTAGGACCAAAAGGTGACTGGACTAAGATGCCTGGAATGAGGGAAACAGTAGAAGCAACAGACACAAAACAGAAGCCAATAAACACTCTCCTGAGCTCTGCACAATCACAATATCATAGTCCCGCTTATTTCCCACACTCAGCTGTTGTACAGGCCAGAGAAGCAGCCAATCAAACGGATCAGCCAATCAGACACAAGGCACAGAGACACAGTACGACCACAAAGCCACAGAGGAAGAGAGAGAGGAATAGATAGATAAAGACTGACCTTAAAGCTGACCCCTTCCTCAGAAATCACCTGTGTAACAAACAGAGTGTTTAAGAGACGCCCACAGAGCTGAGAGAATGGTAATGAATGGGTTAACTGAGAGAGCGTTCTCTACTTCATGACCGATGGACTGTGAAAGACTGACAACCAGCAGAAACATCTTCACTTTTAACTGCCACAGTAGATCATGAATTGCACTACATAATGTGACGATGCCCTCTAGTGGCAATAGCAAATGTTTATGCACATCATTATTACACAGTAATTATTTACTCACCCTCATGTCATTACAAACCCATATCTATTCTTTCTACCAAAGAACACACAAAAAAGATATTTTGAAGAATGTTCTCGCTGCTCTTTTTCATACATTTTAAGTCACTTTATTTCTTGGTACATTTTTGGTAGTTATTTTTTTGGTAAAAACATGAGAGTGGGTAAATGGTGAAATGTTCTTTTTGGTTGAACTATTCCTTTAATAAAGGAAGTGACAAAAGACGACGAGCATAATGGGAAAAAAGAGAACAAAACTTCAAAGTTGGCTGGTCCATGGCCATGATCAAATGCAAATTTGAAGGAGCAGACTTCACAAGCCAACAAAATGAACAAATCCACCAAATCAGAAAGCAAAAGGGATGAGCATACAAGAACCAAGACCACAAGATCTGAAAAGAGGCAAGACTGGAGTGGCGTGGTTGAAACCTCCATGAATGAATGAGATCTGTATGGATGCAACATCTTATTGTGGCCCACCATAATACTAAAACAGAGTGTGAACATTTGTACATAAAGCTGAAAGTGCATTTGTCAAACGTGGTACATGGACAAAGAACACACTGTAGTGCCGATACATCAAATTAGATCTGCGAAAAAAAAATCAAAGGTGATACGAACTGGACAGAAATCTCGACAGCATTCATATGGTGTGGCGTCATGTGAGAAATGGAGAAGTCAGGGCACAGGCTAAGCACAAGAACAAAACATGGAATGAGAATGTGCAGTCTGCCTGTCCTCATGACAGTGACTGTCTGAATGGATGTGAACATTTAAAATCTTATTAGCACTTTTTAACAAACTAGCTAGGTGGTGCAAACTGTAGGCTACTTGCTAATTAAATTAATGGGGTGATTTTTCAATCAGGGGAATGTTCTATCCCCACGATGATTAAAAAATCTCTTTAAATTACGATTTTCTCATTTTTAAGTTGAAATGTTTCCTATAATTTCTCTATTTTAAGCCTGCTCCCCCCCATCTAGTCTTTTAATTTCTCGTCTATTATAAATTTATGCAATGTTGTCAAAATCTGTTGCATTTTTCCAAAGAACTTCTGCCTGTCCTCATGACAGTGACTGTCTGAATGGATGTGAACATTTAAAATCTTATTAGCACTTTTTAACAAACTAGCTAGGTGGTGCAAACTGTAGGCTACTTGCTAATTAAATTAATGGGGTGATTTTTCAATCAGGGGAATGTTCTATCCCCACGATGATTAAAAAATCTCTTTAAATTACGATTTTCTCATTTTTAAGTTGAAATGTTTCCTATAATTTCTCTATTTTAAGCCTGCTCCCCCCATCTAGTCTTTTAATTTCTCGTCTATTATAAATTTATGCAATGTTGTCAAAATCTGTTGCATTTTTCCAAAGAACTTAAAAAAAAAAAAAGGTGAAAACCTTCACAAAGAATTGCTGACTGCAATACTGAAGTCATAAACATCAGTTATGATAGTTATGATTCGGAGCTAAAAAAAAACTACATCATGATCTGAGAAAAACTTTATCAGGACTTATTTAATATATTCAGTTAGTATGAGAATTTTAATTCAAAGGGAACTTTTTTTATTTTATCAGTAAATAAAATGGAAGTCATTTTACTGTTTACTATCCTGCTGTGTTAGCAAATCTAAGGCCACATCCACACAAAGCCAGAGCTTTCCCTATCCGATCTTTTTTTTATCTCGTCTCAAGAAATATCTGCGTATACACGAAACCGACACAAAACGATGTAGTACAGATGCCAGACCAGCATGTGGCGCTGTAATTCTGCCACAGATACACTAAAAACGGAGAAGACTTGGACTATGCGCATAAACCTTTAGCGCTGTATACAAACGAACATGGAACAATACATTTATTAATCTGTGTTAATGTTAGCTAATAAAAAGACAATCGTTCGGTGTTTGTTCATGTTGTTGTTGTTGTTGTTGCTGTTACGTGACGTAGCGGTGTCTGACTAGGGGCGAGACGTGGGGTGATGACATTATCGTTTCACAAAATATATGGATTGGCTGTCCACACGAAAATGCAAAGGTGTCGTTTTCAGATTTATCCACTCTGGGACCCGGTTTCAAAAAATAGCAGTTTCACGCTCCCAAAATGTCAGATACGTCTGGACGAAACGCCAATACGATACAACATTTTTACATATACAGCTAAACGCGTCTCTGTGTGGACGGGGCCTAAGATGTATCTTACGTCTCTCATTATATTACAATCTAGGGCTACACAAAATCTAATTATGATTTTTCTAATAAAAATGTGGTTACAATTTAAAATGTGATTTAAAAAGAAAAAAAAAACAGGTTTGTAGGGCTGCACGATTTGACCAAAATGTTGTGATAATAATAATAATAAAAATATATATAAAAATGGCTAAATAAAAAAATACAACTATTGTATAAAAAAATTTAAATCTGTTAATTTAATAATAATTTCATTTTACATTGCAATTGCAAAATTACAATATTACAATTTACTTCTTTATTCATTTTCAAATGTTAAACCATCAAACGTTTCTTTTGACAGAGGGATCCCTTAAAATGTTGTGCTTCTCGTAACGAGTTTGTTTGTTTGTTTGCGTTTATCACCATGCCAGCTTCGGTGGCTATTTCATGGCGAGAAAAATTAATAGCTAAATTATATCGGGTTTTTCCTATTTATTTTCGCAGAAGACATTTGGCAAAGGTTGCGTTCCCAAATTAAATAAGCCCTTAATTGAAGAATCCCCCATCTATAGTTCACGAGTAGAATTTCTCCCTATACGTTTTCTGTCTACTCTTACCTTCAGTCCTGTCTTTTCATCATCGCTACCATTATTAGCGGAGGGGGTCTCGTCCTCCAGGCGGGACACCAGGACAAAGTCCTCACTGTTGAGGGTGGACACAGAGTCGGAGGACACGCTAATTTTCCCCACCGAGGCCTTGTCATCCATGACTGCTAAATCAAGCCAGATGCGCTCATGAATGGCAGTTTAATGAGCAAAATTACCTGGAAAACAAAGAGATGAAAAAACAATGAGGAAAGGAAAAAAAAAACATGAGAGGAGCTTGCACGCCCATGCTTATTTTGAATGCATCCTTTGTGAACTGCAAATATAGTTTGTGGTTCTTTACGAAGCAAGTTTCAATCAACTGTCCTACAAGTGACAGCATTTACATGCAAAGCTATTTATGGGCACATGGTGTCTGCAGAGCAAAATAAAATACAAAACTTCGACAGAAGTGCTGGCTAAAGAGGCAGAGATGTGTGTGGAAGTATACTGTAAAATTATAATAAAGAAATGGCAGGTAAATGGAAATGTATTACCAGGTACTCATATTGTAGGCATACATCAAGGGTCAAAAACTAACAGTCACTAACCAAACAGTAAGAAAATAAAATCACAGAGTTACCTGTTAACTTTATTAGAAACTGCAGTGTAAAAGTCCAATTTGTAGGTGATATGTATGATAAAAAAAAAATTAAATTTAAATTAAAAAGACATCCAAACTGCATTATATTTTGAGTTTTTTTATACATATATATATATATAATATTTTGAATTAGTTTTCATTTTGTTTTCATTTTTTATTTAAAGTTTAAGTTTAATCATGTCTCAAGTTTGAATTTATGTGCCTTATATATAAATATATAAATATTTATATTTAGCTTTATTTTTATTTGAGTTTGGTCATTTTAGTCTGTCAACTTTTATTTTATTATGCTTAATTGATTACATTTAGTTACCACAGCAAAATGTTTAGGTTTTACCATTTTTTGTGTGTTTTTTATCTAATAATTATACTGTATTTTTATTTCAGCTTCATTTCAGTTGTGGAATTTGAATAGTTTTAGGCCATTCCAAACATTGGGGGTGGGGGGCATATCATAAATAGCCAGTCAGCTTTAGGTATGTCACAGCCATGAGATTTGCTATTGTTATTGTTAGTCTGATATACACGAACCATCAATATTTCTGATCTGGTTTCCCGAAAAACATAAAAAAATATATAAATGTGCATATCTGCTAAAAGCTTATTTAGTCAATACAGTACAATACTAAAAATAGGCTTCATTTTCTTTTCTTTTTGATTGAGGTCTAAAATATGACAACATGGTACATTAATATCCAAATGCCTATCTATTCTAGCTCTGTATCATTGTGTGGTGCATTTATGCAATGTTAATGTATGATGGAAATGGGCCTGGCTCTGTTCTACAGCAGCCAATTGTACACAACATGCAAAAATCTATTTTATCTCCACGGCAACAGTCAAACGAAAACCAAAGTTGGTGCTGCTGTGGATTGTAAACTGTGCTGCCCGCACTGTACTGCCAAGTGCTGTTTACATTACCATGCACATGACCGGGTATAACAACACTGTTCAGATTGACCTTATCCTTATGCAAACTGATCAATTATTTTTAATCCAATGAAAGAGAAGCAAACTTAATTCTATTGCAACAGAAAAGAAAGCTGAAGAACGAATTATAGTTGTGTTTATGAGAGCTGTAAGTTACCTGCGTGTATCTGGACAGGCTGAGAGGGTTTGGCAGAGGGTCAGCACTGAACTATATTTGGATACGGGAGGGAAATAATGGGACTGTACAGGTCCAGACATGAAAACACTAACAAAAGCAGCTGCGCCATTTCACTCTACTGATTTCTTCTGCAGATCCCTAGAGGAAGTGTCGAAGAATGACCAGAACCTGTGTGTGATTTACACAAACACACACACGCACAATGTGCTCCAATGTGTTACAATCCCAGAAGTCCTGTACAAAGAGGATGTTGATACAATGAACTCAAGTCACAACAGACAAATGTTGTAAGATCTGCAGACAAGAGTCAGTTTCAATCAGTCTAATATTTATTCTAATGATTTTATTCTCAAGCATTTCTTATCAATGATGTAGTGTTGTCAAAAGACCCGGTACTTCGGTACCAAGTCGGTATTAAAAAAAATGAAAACGTTATGGTACCAGGTTTTTTTAAGTACCGGTGATACCGAGTACCCGGTCAACCCGGTTCTTGATGCGCTATCCGAAAGGTGCGCAGATGCGCTCTCTTCATAAAAGCACTGAGACGTGGCGACATCAACACGAGGAAACACACCTAACTAACAAAACACTTTAAAGACAGACACCCGGATCAAATGAAAGAGTTCAAGCAGGTAAGTTTCATTTACATTTTTTATATTTAGATCTTCTGAGTGTTTCCCATACATTGATTTATTTGTGGCGGCCCACCAGAATATCAAAACTGACCGCCACAAATAGATTTTCCATTTGACTTCGATTAATAAACATGAGCACTGCGCGTGTCAAAGTCGAAACCCGGTCACTGTATTTCTGAAGGAAACCGACTGTCTTTAGAAAATTATGGATGTCATTTTCATTTCATCTTGCCTGTAATGCCTGATAAACCAGCGTTTGTGAGCGCAGCGCTTATTTGATTACAGCTGTTAATGGGGAAACCTCTATCTCTCCCGCTCTACAAGCGCCTCCTGCTGGCAGAGAATGAATTTGCATATACAGTATATGCCACCACAAATAGAGTGCAAGTCTGTGGGAACCAAAGGCTGTGCACCAAAGCTTTTCAAAAGAATACTGGCTGATACTGCTAATAAATGATGCAATCTATTGTTTAAGTTGGATGTGGAAAAATAAAAATGTCATCCGTTCTATGCAGGGAACTTTTTGACCACACCTGTTTAGGCAGTTTACTATGTAGGAAACTACAGGGATCCATCCATTTTACTTCAATCAAAGTCAAAGAAAGCCACCAGGCTGTCACCACACAATGCAAGGCAAATATTAGCATTTTGTAATTCTTGCCCAGCCTGGATAAATTAAACTAACTGAAACAAACCATGTGATCAGCTTTGACTTGCTCAAACTGCAGAATATTGCAAAACAGTTTGACTGACTCAACATGCATTTGCATGTCACAGATGTTTGTTTTTGCCGTTTTATTATTGGCTCTCTTGATTCCTAGTCACTACCAACTTCTGCAAACAGAAATGAAACTGAGACTGGTGGGAATCACAGATGACACCTATCTACACAACATTTTAGGCAAGCTACTGATGTGGTCACCACACACTCTCATTATATGGAAAAGAGCAGCTTGGTCATTCTGCTAAATAACTTCTTTTGTAGTGGGTAAATGATGACAGTGTTTTTACTTTTGGGTGAACTATCCCTTTACACAAACGGTAGCAGGAGAGACGTGTGTTGCTTCACAGGTCAGTGGGTTCAGGCTGCTGGGATACAGTGAGAGAGGATGTTGAATGGCAGGTTGTTCCTTTGCGAATGAGCTTTGGTTTTCCTGACTGGCATATTGTGCTCTGTCCTAATGGAGACCAGGCTCAGCGCTACACCCTGGGGAGCAATGACCAGAAACCAGCGGTACACAGGCCTCACAGAGCTCTGACAATGAGCCGTGTGTATTGTGCTACTGGTTTAAGATAGAGGAGTGGCTCCTCACACAGACTAATGGTCAGACGACTGACTTCTTAGCCTTTTTCACAGATATCCACATGGATTCGCATGGAATAGACACACAAGATGCTCCCTCACACTAACGCTCTGTTCTTGCGCTGTTATAATGGATGCCTTGTCAGCATTTTTCTTCTATCTCTCTCTCTCTGCCTCAGGACGCAAAGGCCAAACAGTGTTTCCCCTAGGTTAACGGCTTATTTTTCTGGACTCCTTTTCAATGGTTAAATTACATTTTATTAATCAAAAAGCATGTCTAATTAATTAAAATCATGAAACTTAAACAATTTAACATCAATTTATTAAAAGTTTAACAAATATTACATGTTTAGGGCCCTATGAAATGTTTTAGCATGTCTAATTATTTGAAAGCATAAAAACAAGTTTCATTTATTCTTACAACAGCCTTGTGATTTTTTGCTCAGAAATTCTGTGTTGTGTATTTACATTTTTTTAAGGCATAAAACATTCCTTTAATCTATCTTTTAAGTAATGAAAATTAAACAAATTGTATTTTTTGGAAAATAAAGGTCATTTAACATTACAATTAAAACATTGAATAAATATTGTATGATTATACCTTAAAAATAAGGTTTTAATCATTTTAGTAGTAGTAGTAGCCTGTTACGTACATTCTACTGAACAATAGTAATATATTTCTGCCAATGCCTTCAAGTTAAACCGAACTTTTATTTTGACGGGTTGCCGTGAATACCTTTACATTTCTGTGTGTATATGATATGATGATAGTTTTACTCAAATGAAACGGTCAAATGCACATGAAGTGACTCTCAGAGCAGTTCTGGAAATGTTGTTCATGTATTTATGTCCTCATTTAGTGAGACGGCAGACGCTAAAATCACCGGAAGCGTCACGTGCGCTTCAGTACGAGTGGCAAACGAGTGTGTGTGTGAGTGCGTGCGCGCAGCAGCGCGTGCATCGGGCGGAACTCCGCTGTGCGTGATACAGACAGCTCGACCATAACGTAGAGACCGAAATGACATGCCGTCGTGTAAATAAGATAAAAACATAAGGCTATTTAGTGGGCCGCCCCCCTAATATACGCTGCCAAATGAGGAGCGAAACACAAGATGATGTTTTAGGCTCTCTTGTGGAAAAACAAAAAGGAAAAAGATAAGAGGAGGAGAGAGACAGACAAACTGAGGCAGAGAGAGACAGGCAGACTGAGGAAGAGAGTAAGACAGGCAGAATTAAGTAGAGAGAAAGAAAGGCAGACTGAAGCAGAGAGAGACAGGCAAGCTAAGGCAACCAAACAGAGATAGACAGGTAGACTGAGGCAGAGACAGGTGGACTGAGACACAGAGAGAGACAAACGGATTAAGGCAATGAGAGAAAGACAGGCAGACTGAGGCAGAGAGTAAGACAGGTCAATTGAAGTAGACAGAAAGAGAGGTATGCTGAAGTAGAGAGAAAGACAGGCAGACTGGAGCAGAGAGAAAGACAGGCAAACTAAGGTACAGGTAGACTGGTAGACTAAGACAGAGACA